ACAAATATAAAATTTTGATTGTAAAAATTGATAGCAGACTCCCGAAAACTAACAGCAGTTTCCTTTATTATCGGCTGTGAAAACTATGAGAGAAGAAATTTTTGTTTTTCCATAAGAAAAAATACGTTTAAAGAATGGAAGTAACATTTTTTACTATCAATTTTGAAGGCTGTAACGGACATTTCTCACTATCAATTTTGAAAACTGCAATAGACAAGTCTTACTATCAATTTTGAAGGCTGCAACTGACGTTTGCTACTATGAATTTTGAACACTTGCCTATTTTTTTTTCGTACTTAACCTTTAAAAAGTAAGTATTCGAAGCTGACAAAACGAATTCCCACAATCTAAAGAGCTGAAATGATGCCTCCAGAGTATTAAATCTTTTTCTTTTAAACTATTTACTAAGTTTTAAGCTTTTCAACTGAATTACTAAGCCTTAAGTAGAGTAAGCCAGCCTTGAGAATGTTTCATAAAAGCCATTAATCTGAAAGATTTTCGTTGGTAAGCTTTCGAAAATTTCGTACGTAGTACTAAGCGCAAAGTCTTTCCACGTAAATTATTATGTTCCCATCTTTTCTGATAGCAATTAAGTACAATTTAAGTACGTTTTAATTAAATTTCCACTAATAACAGGATCGTTTAACTTGCTAAATATTAAGGCGTCGTACTTATTCACGCGTACAGTTTAAGAATGGTAGAGGGCGAAATGTACACATCGTTGTACACGGTATTGTCTACGTGGACATTACATTAGTGGCATGCGAATTTGTTACCGTAAGCCTACTTTACTAGTCGCTGTAAGTCACAATTACGTGTATAGTACAATATAACTTCACGGGCTTTTAATTACGTGTACAAAGGCCAGGAAATTTGCCCTCTTGTATAGAATGGTATACGCAACAAGGAGCGAATTGCATACACCATTGTTTACAATAGGGGGGGAGGAGATCAAAATCTGAAGTAGCTCAAAAACTGTAATTAACGGACAGACTCCTAAGCTTAAAACTAATTAAGCACTAGCTAACTTAGTAAATAGCTAGAAAACATAAAATAGCACTGTTGACTAATTAAACCCTACAAATTTTCGACTAGAATTCATTAGCATTAAGACAGAAAGGCCACTCGTATGATATTTTAATAGGACCACCCGAAAGGCAAACTCACCTTTAACCTTTCAAATTACGTTCTAGAAGCATCTCGACCGACTTTTTAATTAAGATAACAATTAAGAGATGCTCTACTATTAAGTATTAAACACTAAAACTAAATAATTAAGCATTAAAACGTGCAATAAACACCTCAAAAACACTTCTACGCTCGCCTCATCAATATAAAAATAAAGGGAAAGAATGTCTTCCGTACGAAATTATATTTATTTTTATCATTTAAAACAATAGAAAAAATTGCATTATTAATATTAAACGATGACGTAATAACAATACTTTATTTTAAAAATACAAAAGTTATAATGAATATATTTTTTTTTAAGTAACGAAAATAACATCGTGTGACCTATTTTATAATGGAATCAATTATGTGTATATATAAAGAGTCATTTAAATATAATGTTTTAAATTTTAATTATAATTTATTTAAAATTTTCATACTTAAAAACAGTAGCCCATTATTAAAATTTCGTATATTTATAAAGAGGAATGTCTTGTGTTACTTACAGAACTTGCCATTAGTAAGAGGAGAATCGACGGAGGATGATTTTATTTTATTTTATTTTTAAATAAAATCAAATAAAATAATTCGAATTAAATTAAGTTATTTTTATAGAAATTTTCCCTTTATTTTTAAGATAATAGAAAAATTAAATGAGTTATTTATTTCACTTGAACATTAGCAGACCAATTCATAGCCATTGTAATTAAAGCATTTGTTAAGGACATAAATTTTTCTCCTCCTCCTCCTCCATCTTTTTTTTTTTTAATTTTTTAAAAATAAATTTTAAACATCACGAGCTGAAAAATATTTAAAAACTTATTTATAAACTCGGGTATTTTCCATTTTTAAGCTTAAAATAATCATAAACACAAGCGAAATTAACTTTTAGAGTGCGTAATGATTTTAAGTCGATTTTTTTAAAATTAAAAATAAATATTTTATAAAAATTTTAACGCGAGTCATTAGAATTGTTAATATTTCGGCGATTTTTATAAAAAATATGCTTAAAATTTTAATAAACCAATGATTTTTAACGTTTTAATTGTAGACACCCTCGAGAGGAGTGGTGGAATCTCTTTATATACCATCGAGGACGTTATATTGGTTTTGCCGGTGGAGGAGCGAAATGCTAATTTGAATAATGTTTGCTGTGTCTTCGGGTAGAGGTTGAAGGGCATAACTTTTGTATTCCATCATTTGTTCATACGACGCTCCAACAGTAGTCTTGTGTTCCACTAAATCAATTTGATGATAAATTGCGATTGGGACATCTCCATGTGATACATGGATCTCTTGTTACTAAAGAAAGTCAATCGCGTCCAGAAAAATTTATCACTCGATGTGATGTAACAAAGGCGAATTATGATGTAATTAGAAATTGAAATAACGGCTCTTCCTTATTATCATAATTTAGCATAATTATGGTTTCAGTTTTAGCATATTTCCATTGAGCTGGCAACAATTTAAAAAATATACGATTTTTTATTATTATTTTCGGGTAGAACTTGATCATAAATTATACAAAAGTGAATTGTCTTTTGGGTAAGTCGCTTGTCTTTAAAGACAAAAATTTCTTACGTAATTTAAATAAATATTTCGCGAATAATGGCGCACGGGAGTCGCGAGCCTCTAGTTGAAAAGTTACTCGTAACATATGGAGTATAAAATATGGAATTAAAGTAAAAATACTAAAAGTAAAGAGCAAAAAATTTAAATATTTTTAAAACATTTTGATAAGAGCAACTAGTTATTAATATATCTAATAAATTTTAAACGTATATTTGATCATTTATAACTTTAAAAAATACATTACGTGTTTTAAAATTCTCAACCTTTGTCTTAAACGATTAAAGCGTGAAAAAAATCGAAAATTTCCTTTTAAAACGATTAAAAATATTCGATATAGCTTATAAAATTAAAAAAAAATAGTTATAAATTATCTCTTCCAACTGACAAACATTTAATTTAATTACTGTGATCCTGGTTACAGTCAAAGCAATTGCATACCCTTAATATCCATTTAATGGCACTAAATATTCACAGACAAATGTATATAAAACACAAAAACTTATAATTCCAAACAGTCGAAAACTAACAAATGTCACAGAGTAAAACTATATACATAATAGTTTCCTGAAATAGTTTTTGAAGATATTTTGGCTCACATCCTAATGGATTTTACTACCAAAAAATTATAAAGTTACTTTAAAAAACAACAATTAAGTTATATAAGGAAGTACAGATGCTATTTTAAGAACATTTTCTAAAAAATTAAACCCCCATTTTTTATTTTTAGAGGAGTATTTTTTTTTTTTTACGTTTTTAAAGCATCTCTTACACTAAGGTGCTAGCTTCAGTTTACTTTAACATACAGAAGAAGGGGTTCAAAGGATTGTTGTATGTAGAGAGTGAAGAGTTTTGAACAGGAAACGAATGAGAAACACTTAAACTTATCATAAAAAATTTATATATAAATGTATTAATCATTCTTCCTATTTATAGAGCTACTAAAACAGTTGTTTTAGCACACGAGTTGCATTTGTTAAGGTCATCTATGTTCATGTAGAATAATGTAAAACTGAGTTGTCACTGCTCGATACTGTTAATATTGATGATTAATGTTTAAGGGTATAAATCTAAGCTTCAATAGATATATTAATTTAATGGGTAAGGAAATATCTGACCATTAGTCATGGGTGGAAAAAAAAATCACTCTTACCTGAAGCTATAAATATAAAATATGTTCTTAAAAAATTGTAAATTGTTGTGTGATAATTTAATTTTCTGCTGCATAAAAAAATACACAAAAATTAATTACTGAGTTAATAATTTTATTCATTAATATTTATAAAATATTTAAAAGTTTTACTTCGTTCTGGCTTCTTCCCTTTTTTTTTATTTTTATTTTTTAATTTTAAATTTAAATTCTTGTTAATTAAAAATGATACATACCTTACGTAAAGTTTAATTATTTTTTTCGAACTTTACTTTAATTTCTTAATTTTAAATAAATTATAATGACGGGATTTAAATTTAAATATTAATTCGTTATCGTTTGCAGTTTAAATTTCTTTCTCTTTCTTGATTAGTCGATTTTAAATATTCTCTTTTCGTTACCGAACTGATTATTGGTCAATTTTTGTTATTGTTGTTTCGTAATTATAGGGAACAGGCGTGGAAATTTTTAAACTAGACGTGTAATTGGTTAATTTTAAAGTTCTGAAAACGAAACATAAGAATCTGATTGGTTAAGATCTTATGAATTATAATAAGTTTAATATATATATATTTAACGAATGTAAAAAAAATTTTGATTAGTTAATTTAAATAAAAGGAGTAATCATAATATAAATACTTAAATTTAGAATCTATGCAACACATTTATCAAATTGATTAAAATAGGCGTGTCTTTCAGTGAACCAGATTCGAGGTGCGATTGGTAAATTTAAATTTATGTAATTTAGTAAATAAATCTTTACAAAATATGCAAAAATTATAATTTATTACAATTCACTAATTTGTGGCATTTAATTGATAAAATAGAAACAATTTAAATGCAAAAAATTATTATTTAAAAACATTTTACCATTCGAGAGTTAGAGAATATCGTAGAAAAAAGAAAAAAAGGAATAAATTTGGAAGTGAAGATACGTGAATTAATTCGTTTCGAGATAAATTAATTTAATTTAAAATAAATGATAATATAACTTGATGCACAATCATTCAAAAAAGGGAAGATGTTGAAAGTCCGGATCAGCCATGTTGGTATTGGAAGATTCAGCATCTATTAGGGAATGAAGATATGCTACAGTTAAAAATGTACTTACTTAAACCATCAAACCTCCTTATGATACTATCGATAAAGGTATTTTGGGGTACGACATGACCCCTTTTCACAGGCATCTTTAACTTTTGCTAATCGTATAACTCCATAGCATCCTTTGTATATCACTAGTGGTGGGAGAGAGAGAACTACCGTCTAACTGCCTGCTTGGCAGTGTCGCGCATACTCCACGGCCCTAACATCGATCCGATCCTTTAGGCTTAGCGCAGACGTCAGCAAGTCAGGATCGGTATTACTGTACGTGTTCTGTAACGTAAGGGTCATTCCTCCTACTCTAGGTCTACAGAAATACCCTCCTAACTGATAGATGCAAACTTTCTTGCATGGTACGAGTATCAGAGGGGTAACCATTAAAAAATAATAATAATAAAAACAGGAAGCAGTGTTTCTAGTACAAGTACAGTAGGGTACCCTTGAAGATCCTGATAATGCTTCCATACAGAAAAACTTTTTCAAGAGCCATACTGTTTTTTTTTTTTTTTTTTTAACTTTGCATTAATGTTACGAGTACTTAACGCTCTTAAATATCCATAAAGCTTCCAAATAAGATTACCCACTTCTAATTTATCATTTTTTTCTGTTTTTTTCTTTTTTTAAGTGAAGGTTTCGAAATAATTCACGTTAGGAGAGGGGTCTTAAAAGTTCGCTTTAGCACGTGAAATTCGAGACGAGTCTATACATAAATTATGATAATTAAATTAATGGCTCTTAAGGCATCAAAAGCCATCATAAATGTCATGTTATAAGATAATATTTAGCAAACTTTTACATAATTTAAGTATTGATTAAGATTACGTGCAGCTATTTTAAAATTTAACAGTATAAATGCTGTTTAATAAATAATAAACAATATCAAAATTAAATTTTATATTAATTAAAGATTGGTTAAACAATTGGCTAAAGTTATGTGATATTATTATTATTATTAATTTACTATTATAAATTTAATAAATAAACATCCCTACAAACCCAATGTAAAGCAATAACACACCAACAACGTTTATTTTTTACTTTTTTTAATTAATGAATTATATATATTTTTAAAATTAACTAATTCTTTTACATTTGTTTTATTTTTTATATAATTTATTAATTAATATGTTTAAAAATTAAAATATTTAAATTAATTATTGAATTTATCGGTAGATGGAGCCATGTAACATTTCTATTTTTATTACTCAACTAGTTGCGCCGTCTAGCGTATAAAAAAATTAATTTTTTTAACACCTCGTGTAGAAAAACAAAAAACAAAATAAATCTTAAATAAAAATAAATTAAAATTAAACAAATACCTTAAATAAGTAACTTTTCATTATTATTTTTTTAATTTTATAATTAAAATTATCATAACGCGATCGACTTGTAATTAACTTACATGTAAAAAAAGTTAAAAATAAAAGCTGTAAGATATTATCTTTGAATGGACCTCAAGTACTCGTCTTACTACTTATGTAATAAATCAATTCAAAAATCAGGGCGTGAATGAAATGACGTCATTAATATGTAACCATAGACGTGTGACGTCTCGACTTACACTACACTTTAAACAAAATACATTAATAAGGAAATACAGTAGATTTAATAATTTAACATTTAAAATTTTATAAACGAGCGTTTTTTTTTGGTCTTCTTTTAAAGAAATAAAATAAAAAAATTATATGTTTACGATATTTTCTACGTTTATAATCATTTTCAATAAGTTTTTCATTCATAAAAACACGTGACCGATGACGTAACAATATTGAAAAAATAATGAATGAAAATTCAGACCATTATTACGTCAGAGGTAACGCAATAATGGAAAATTAAAATAAAATTATTTTCATTCATAAGAAGCAAATTTCATTATTACGTCATCTCAGTAGCGTAATAATGATAAGATTTTTCATTCATGGGAAAAAAAATTTCAATTTTATTTTTAAATTACACGTTGTAACTACGTAATAATATCTCTTGTATACGTAATTTATATTTAAAAATAAAGGTGAAACTTTAGAAGTCGTGTATTTATGTCGTGCTTTTAGATAAGTAAAATAAAGATAAATGACGTAAAAAAGAAAAAAAACAATAAAAATGTATTTTTACGGTGTACTTGATGTTTATTTGTACGCTGTTACGACGATTACCAGTAAAATTGTTACTTTGAGGCGTCACGTCTTCGTTATGAGATAGTAAAATAATATTATCTGGATGAAATAGCTTGGAGTAACGCTAAAAATTAAACATTAAATTCATATATGGAAGCGCATTTAAATATATTTTAAAGTTTCATAATGACCTTTGAACTTTTTAAACCGAAGAATGGGATTCTTATCGAAGTTTGTACAAGATTTGTCACGCTGTATTAACTGTACAAAGTTAATTTATTTATAAAACTATAATTTAGACATTATTTATCAAAGATTAAAGCAGTATCTATAGTGAGACAAGCTGAAACACAGAAAATAATGTAATTAGAGCTTGAAAAAAAAATATTCACCTGTCAACCATATTTGATATTCCTTGTCGGGTATTTAATCACAAAATTAAAATATACATAAAATTCGCTTTAAACGTTGTAAACTTGTTATAAATTAGAAAAAAACAAGGAAACAGATAATTAGGGAATTTTTTTTACACGACTTGTTGCCTGTCAACAATTAATTTTATCTAATTTATGACCTTATATTATTTATGTTACAGTTTCAATTTAATTACCTTTAAAAAATAATCGTATTTGCTACAATTTACACGATTAATCAAGTTATTTCCTTATAGTTCTTCACTTTTGTTTAATTTTTATAAATAAAATACAATTAATTAAACCTCTAAACGACGGCTCGTTCGGAGGTTATAAACGTCCCTGAAAATCTGTCCGCCGTTTAGAGATGGCCGTTGTTGACAGGTTCGACTATATTTTGATTTTCTATTGTATAGCCGCGAGGTAACGGAAAGGAGCGAGAATAATTGAATTAAATTATTTATTATTAATTTATCTCTCTAGTATATATATATTACATTATTTAAAACACAATTTTCTTCAGGAAAAAATGATAAAAAAAGCAATAAAATTTATTTTTATTGCAATAAATCTTATCAAAGGAAGTAAATAAACTGCTCTAGACTTATCTATTCGTGCAAGAAGTTTTATATTATTTAAATTCCTGTACATTTAACGGAAAACAGGGATAAGAATTTATGTTTTTTCAGTACGTTTGCTGAAATTACACCTTATTAAATAATGTATTTGATTAAAAGAAGACTTTCGAGGTATAAATGAGTTAGTTATTTATTCATCTATATATGAATGGGCAGTGAAAGAATCGCTGATTATAGCGAAAGTAGTTGATACCGATCATGGTCATTTTTCCTATCACTTTATCTTCTTAGCTATGAATGAAACTGCTGCTACATCCGTGTTATACAATCAGATCAATTCGAGTGTGTTTACGTTTTGAATAATACACGCTTCTGATAAATTGGGTAGAGGAAACTTCATCAATTCAGTTCTACAGATGCTTACAGTAAGCAAGTTGTATAAACAGGATTTTGAAAATATGGATACTCCTCAAGGTAGATTCGGAGGAACCAAGTCACGGGCTTATCGTTACTCAATTACCATAGAATTACTTTAGTTACCTAACTGAAGTCACGCAATGTGCATTATTATATTTATTTATATTTTAAAGTAGTAAAACTTATTGGTTTGGTATCAAGAGGTGCTGCAGCACCATACGTATCTCTTGGATACGAGACGAAACAGCACCTTTGTATCTTACATTTTGAGAAAAATTATTCACACACATTTTCTAAAATATTCTTTATATTTTAAAAATCAAAGCCAAGTATATAATACACATCTACTATTTATCTTATTATTTTTTCTATTTTTTACTTTCTCTGCTCTTTTATGTAGCCTATAACAGAGGAAAAGTACGGCGATCGGTCAAGAAATGATCCCCCAAGATTTTTACATGTTTGGACTCGGGGACCTTAAAACTTCAAAAAAATGCAAATAATTTAGGAGCTTTTTCTGTATGTATGGATATTAGTGCGTGTATATGTGTGGTGGGTGTGTGGCACGATTTTGTTCACCCTCTTTGAAGCTTAACAACACCCGTGCTTTTCGTCCAAAATTTCTGAAATTTTGTATGGAGGTTCATGTATTAGACAGGGGTGGCGAACCTGTGGCACGTAAGGAGAAATCATCTGGCACGTAACGTATCATACGATTTCTGTCTTTTTCAATCATCTTTTCCGTTTATCACCTGAATATCCTTTTTTCAATCCGCTTTTTTACATTTATTCTAATTAAAGTGTAGTCTATTCGTTTAATTTCTTTAAATATCGTTATTCGAAATCTGAAACTTTGGCACGCATAAACATCTTTAAAGCTAAGTATGCTTACAATATGGCACGCTAACACAAAAAGGTTCGCCAACCCTGTATTAGGACATTGATGCTATTAAATTTTGGTGGTTAAAGGTCGAGGAGGTCAGGAAATAAAGGGGGGTCATGTGTCATATCTCGAGTAGGGTCGGACATAAAGATGACTTTACTCGTTATTAGCATTTACAATTTTTTATAAACCCATGCTGCTTACTCTCAAGATTAAGCTTTTTGCCATTTTATACTAATTAGTAACATTAAAAAATTTTAAAATAAAATCTCATAATAGATTTTATTTTAAAATTTTAAATATTACCGGGAAAGTTAAGCAACTCTTTGCTGGATTTTTTTTCTATTTTTTCTTTTGAAAACTTACTAATAGACATAGACATTAAAGCTTGTACACGAAGAAAACATCCAGAATTAAATAAAAATTTTCATATATCGTAGCAAAGAAATTATCTACTTGAAAATATGAATTCCGACTCCAGTAAACCAACGGAATTTCTTTTATTTGATTTAATAAAATCCATTTCCATATCTGTTTTATTCATGAATCTTAGAAGGTATCTTAAAGAGATTGAAAGTGTTATTCCATCCACGTGTGTAACATTACTTCCTTTATTTATTATTATGTTTATATTCTAACTATCGAGGTACTCTGTATGCAATAGTAGTACAGCGAATTCACGTATTACGACCCCCCTTATTTACGACGTATACGAAGATGTCACGTTTAAAATATTAAAATTATATTTACAAGAACAGAATCTTAATT